TTTTGATTTTCTTTTGTTTTGCTTTTGTTTTCATTCTGTTTTCATCTTGTAACACCCCTCTTCGATGAGGGACAAAAATAAGAGAACAAGGGTGTTGTTCTCAAGCGTCAATCTGATGTGATTAGCAAGTGATCGCAATGGCATTCAAGCAAAATTATAATTACATAAATTTTTATTGAGAACTCGAATATATAATTAGTATCACATAAATTTTAGTTCTTTTTTAGGTAATTTACAAATATACCGATGTTCGCATTAGAGAACTATATACTCTGTTGAAACCTTGCCTTATGAATATTTGTGCCAGTTTAACCCTATTTTTATGCAATATTATAACTAATTAGCACTTCATTTATCCTTTTATCTAATAATCAGTATATAGATAATTATCGATAATTCTATAATTGCGATTTTGCTATCGTGGACCTAGAGATGAGTTTCATGCATGCGCATTTTATCCCATTTAAATTTTATATAGGAAAAATAAAAATAAAGTATATTTAATTTTGGCCAAAGTGTATAATGGCAGGAAAAATTAAGAAAGAAAATGAATGAGCATAAAGATGAGAAGGGTCGGGAAAATTTTTTAGCAAATATCCGATATTTCCGGAGGGAAAATATAAAACCAAAAAAAATTATATCATGCGATATCATGCGCATTTTATATAACGTGCGCATTAATGCGCATTCCTGCGCATGTTATTATAAAATGCGCATTTTCCCCATCTCTACGTGGGCCTCATGTAATTTTTTTTTAAAAATTAGGCTCTTATATGTAATTATTTTTGATTTGGGCCCGTATTTGTAATTACAGTATTTTCACTTTTCAGGTCCTTATTTGTAAATTCCCTTTTTTTTATCAGTATAAAATAAATTTTTTAAAAGATTATATAAGTGAAACGGGTCAACCGAGTTACCCGGGTAACCCGGATAATCTAAGATGACGATATTTTAAACGGGTGAGTAACCCGGAGCTCAAATTTATAACGGGTACAAGCTCTAATTAATACCACACCATGTGATTCATGATATGACTTTTCAGAAACTTTGTTGATGATGTCCGCTATACTACACTCTCTAAATTTAGCTATACAATACTGTATTGCTGAAAAAAAGGCTAATGCGGGGTAATTGTAATTATGATAATACTATACTAATAATATGTATATAATAAGAAATTAAGAAAAATAATAATAAAGAATAATAATATATGTAATTATGGGGTGCAGAACAATTTTGAAGGTAACAACGTACCCTATCACTGGTCACAGGGCACCGTGACACCATTGATCAAATAACATTTTTAGGTATAACAATACCCATTATCAGTAGCCTTTTTATACCACCTTTTAGCTTCAATTCCTTTTTTGTAACATTCTGCAACACAGTATTGACTAGGGGGAAAGTTTTCGGTTGCAGCTTCAAGATAAAGTTCGAATGCCTTTTCTTTATTTGCTTTTGTTCCTCTCCCGAACTTATAACAATTTCCAAATTATTGCATGAAGGAATATAATTCATCTCATATGCTTTGTTAAAACAATCAATTGCTTTGTTTTTGTTAATTTTAACACCTATTCCTTTTATATGACAGAGTCCTAAAGCATTCATAGATCTTGCATGTCCATCATTTGCTGCTTTTTCGTACCATGATACAGCACTTTTTAGATTTTTTTTAGTTCCATAGCCACACCTAAAACATTCTCCAAGATAAAATTTAGCTATTGGAATTTCATTTGCTGGCTTTTCGAGCATATTGAAAGAAATTTCATTTGCTGTTTTTTCGAGCATATTGAAAGCAGCTTCACGATCCTCTCTAGTTCCAATTCCCTCATGATAAAAGAGCCCAAGAATACATGAATTGTCACTATCCTGATTTTCATTTAGATATTCAAACATACGTTCTGATGTTTCTTGATGTTTAACAATAGTTTCTTCTATTAATTTCGAAATTTGTAAAGATTCAGTTCCATTATTTGCTGAATCGATATAAATCTTAGATAATTTAACTGATAAATTTGATAGCTTGTCTATTTTATTTTCAATATTGAAGTCAGTAGTTGTTTCAGACAGCTTGTTAAGCGTTCCTAAAATTTCATCCATAGTAGGACGCTCGTCTGGCTTAGTTAACCAGCATTTTTTATAAATGTCAGAATAACCTGACGGTGTCTTATCAATAGTCATTTCTCTTTGATTATTTAAAATTTTGTCTATTATTTTATAATTAGAATAACGATAAAATGGAGGGACACCGCTTGTAAGTTCCCAGAGTTACATGCCAAGGTTATAAATGTCAGATCTTTCATCACGTTTAAAGGCTTTTTCATTGGCATGTGTTTTATATTTGAGGTTCAAGATATGCGAGCATTCCTTTAACCTGATTACCAGATGTAGAATAATCCATCTGTTTTGATGTCCCAAAGTCTGAAATCAAGGCTTTATTACCATCTATTAAAATATTCTTAGAATGCTAGCAAATTTAATATAGTGTTAGATGTATAATTAAATGAGAAATTGATTTTTTTTTTAAAAAAAAAAACTTACTAGATCCCGATGAATGATGCCATTCTCATGTAGGTGTTTTAATCCATTAGCAATATCAAGTGCAAATTTTATAAGTTCAACCCATGAAATTATATATAACGCATCATTATGTTTTCCAAACATATAATCCTGTAAGTTTCCGCCATTAGCAAGTTGTAACACAAGCATAAAATCATTGTCATCTATAGCAAATACAGTAGTTCAAATTTTACTATACACATATTAAGCACGTTCTGTAAAAAATAATTTTTAATAAATTTACCTCTTGAAATTCCATAGAATTTTATGACATTTGAATGATCTTCAATATCGTAAAAATTTTCGAGCTATGTTATAAGCATATGTTATTTAATAGTCTTAGGTATTTAAAATAAATAACAATAAGGCGAGATCAATTTGATTCTGTGTTTTACATTATCTCCTCATCATCTCCCTCATAGTATCCTTTTGACATCAATTTCGTACAAAAGGACATTTAATTTCGCACAAAGTGACCTTCAATTTCGTACAAAGTGACATTCAATTTTCATACAAAGTGATATTTAAATTCATACAAAATAACATTCAAATCTGTACAAAAGTACAATTCAAATAAGGTTGTTTAAATCACGATATCTCGTGATCTAGTAACTCAATTTAGATGATTTTGGTACCATTCGAATCCTCTCGGTGAGAAGATTCGAATGGCACCTAAATAATATGATTTGGATTACTAGATCAAGAGATATAATGATTTAATTAAACTTATTTGAATTGTCCTTTTATACAGATTGAATAGCATTTTTATGAATTTAAATGTCACTTTGTATGAAATTGAATATCACTTTGTATGAAACTGAATGTCACTTTGTATGAAATTAAATGTCCTTTTGTACAAAATTGATGTTAAAAGGGATAAAAAAAAAAGAAAAATTATATATAGAAATTTAATATGTTCGCAAATATTCTCAAAAATTTCATAGTTGTTAGAAAAAATCTCGAGGTTTCATGCCGACGAAACGTCGTCTTTCGTCAATTAATATCTTAAATGACGAACTGACGAAGGGCGACGAAACTGAAGAAACTGCAAAGGGCGACAAAACTAATAAAAGACGAAGATACTGTACAGATAAATGTTGTTGAAACTCATTGAAGATAATGTGAATAAAAAAACTATACTAACAAAAGCAGATATTTATAAAAAATTACAAATGTACAATAGGCGCTTGAATTGTTTAAAGGGGAAATCGCTTGGTGCTTACTTCGTGGTCTTACAAATTTATTTGTGTCAGCATGGTTAAATACATTATTTGGCTAGGAATACCACCCTTCGGCATTTTAAGATCGGGATAATTCGAGAGACTTTGATTCACATATCAGTTCTTATTTGCACGTAAATCATCGTTTTTCTTTATTGATTCAAAAGATTATCGGATAAACTTTTGAATCAATGAAGGCAAAGATGATTTACGTGCAAATAAGAACTGGTTATTGGGCCAAAGTTTGTCCGAATTATCCTGATCGAAAATGTCGAAGGGTGATTTTCCTAGTAAAGATCACATATTTGTTATTCCATGAGTAATGTGACTTTTTGACATGGTTAGAAATCTCGGAACAGAAAATCTGTCTTAGAAAAATAGGGAAAAAATTTCTCAATATATATAATACGTTCAAACCCATCACACTCTCAGAAGGTAGAGGTGGATTATGTAAAACACAGAATCAAGTTGGCTTCGCCTAAAGCATTACCTCACGCCTAAAGTCTTTAATATCTTCTCCTTGAAGACGTAAAATTTTTCTTAAACTCTTTAACGCATATTTCACACCCTGGAAAGTAGCCGAATACACAATTCCAAATCCACCTTCACCGATTTGTTCGAGATCTTTGCACTGAGAGTAATCAAAATTTTTTACATTTTTTCTTTCAAATTGTTTTGCAAATGATATTGACGACATTTAAACGCTATAGTATTATTTAATTATTATTACGGTAATTTAAGTTAACATTTTTTTTTAAAAAAAAAAATACTAATAGAAACTGGTTCAATTCTCCTTATAATAAAATTATCGCCCATTAAGAATGTCGTGTACATCACGAACTTCGAAGGTTCATATATTTACGTAACATTACTACACTAAATGACAATAATATGGGCTAGGTGCTGCAAAAAGGGACCAAATTGACAATTTTTTCAAAAGATATTTTTTTACATAAATCAATTTAGAATAAGATTAGGATCATTTTTTACTTAAGACACAAAAGTAGTTGTATTAATAAAATTTTGCAGTATTGCTCTTTAAAGTTTGCATTTTCTTATGGTTTATTATAAGATTTATAACATAAAAATTGATTTTCCGATGATCTTTTGTTTTATCAATTTGGTCCCTTTTTGCAGCACCAAGCCCATATTATGATATAAATTTATGTGGATCCCTATCATTTCCCCTACAATCACTTCCCGACAAATCATCTCCCCGACACAATCATTTCCCGACAAATCATTTCCCCGACACAATCATTTCCCTGACATAATCATTTCCTCAACAAATCATCTCCCCGCTCAATTATTTCCCTTTATTTTCAACCATTCTTCACCCAGCACGTCCGTAATCTGACAGTTACGCCACTAATGTGAATTGCCTATCCGACGGTACCTCTTAGAGTTAATATTGGACGTGCTGGGTGAAGAATGGTTGGAAATAAGGGGAAACAATTGTGATTTGTCGGGAAGATAAATCTCGGGGGAATTAATGTCGGGAAATGATAGGAATCCAATTTGGGTAAGCGTAAAGTCACTTAACAATTTATATAAATTTATGCTTCTTTTTGTGTAGTGTTATGTTACTGAAGATACGTAGAATTCATAAAATATTTATAAGATATTATGTAAAATCACATAAGATTATGTGGATACATTACTTTGTAATTTTATAAAAGATGTAGAACTAGGATTCGTGAATATTCATAGTTAAAATGACTATTCATTAAAAACGAATATTCGGCTACACAAAACTCATAAATAGTCGTGAACTAGATTAAATTAAATATGAATATGCAATGAATATATTGGATATATGCTAACAAAATGACCCTACAAGTCATTGTTACACGAGATTTTTATTAAGAAAAACATAATAAATCTATTTTTAAAAGAAAAAATTCCAACAAAGATCCCATATAGGCTTGACATTCGTGAATTCGAAGAATATTTGCTTAGAATTAAGAATATTCGATGAATATCTGGAAATTCTTTTACAGGCAGTTATACAAACTTTCGATATTCATTCAATATCTGGCATTTGGACTATGTCCAATAAAATTTTATCTGGACTTGGACAAATATGGACATGGACTAGTCCAAATAGTGTCCATCTTTTACCGAATTTTTCAGAATATTTCGGACCTTTGTCCTAATTTTGGATTATTTTTCCGGAATGTTTCGGAGAAGCAGGCTCCATTTTGATTTGGAACGAAAGTATACCCGATAACAATAATTATTTAAATATATATAACAGAATTGATTCTAATTAACTTTTTTTTATACTCACAATGATTTAGTCTCAAACACAGATATCGATCAATACTGTGCACGAAATTTATTATGGCAGTTTCAAAGAATAAAGACCTAGTGATATCTTCATGATAATCACATCATATGATTAAAAATTCGGCCTAAGTTAGGATTAGAGTTAGGGTTACTTTACAGAAACTAGCTATTTTTTTTCAATAGAGTTAAGATCATCTTAACGATATTAATACAATTATTAAAATTG